AACTTTCTCTAGAAGCATCTACATACTAGAAGATACAATTAGTTTTTCCTAGATTGTTCTTAGTATTTTTTCTAGACTATTCTAGAAATTTGTATCAATTTCTAATACTCCTCCTTGATGCAAATTTCTGTAACTCCAAGCTTCGTGCGTAGCTGTTCAAATTTTGGTCTTGGTAGTGCTTTAGTAAAAATGTCTGCAACTTGATCTTCGGTTGTACAATACTCGAGCTTGATTTCTTTAGTTCCTTTTGCTTCCCTGATAAAGTGATATTTGATTGCTATGTGTTTTGTTCTACTATGATGCACTGGATTCTTTGTCATTGCTATAGCTGATTTGTTGTCGCAGTAGATTGTAGTAGGCTCATTTTGTTTTTCTCCCATTTCTTCAAGTACTCTTCGTAACCATATTGCTTGACTTGTAGTCTCAGCAGCTGCTACATATTCTGCTTCTGCTGTTGATTGCGCAACTGTTGCTTGCTTCTTTGAAGCCCATGAGATTGTTCCTGATCCTAGTGAAAAGGCATAACCAGATGTGCTTTTCATGTCGTCGATCGATCCTGCCCAGTCACTGTCGGTGTAGCCAAGTAGCTTTGAGTTGCTCATAGCTTGGTACCATATACCATACTCTTTTGTGCCTTGTAGATATCTTAGGATTCTTTTTGCTGTTCCAAAATGAATTTGGCTTGGACTTTGCATGAATCTTGAAAGAAGACTTACAACATACGTTATGTCTGGTCGTGTGGCTGTGAGATATAGTAAGCTTCCAATCAAACTTCTGTAACGTGATGCATCAGCTTCCGGTGCACCATCATTTTTCTTCAATTTCTCATTTGTCACCAATGGAGTGTTGACTGTCTTACATCCATTCATCTTAAATTTCTTAAGTAGTGCTTTAACATATTTCTTCTGTGAGATAAATATCCCTTCTTTCTTTTGTTTTACCTCTATTCCGAGGAAGTAGTTCATTAAGCCAAGGTCGGTCATTTCGAAGGTCTTCATCATATCTTCTTTGAACTTAGCTATCATCTCCACATTGTTTCCTGTGTAGATAAGATCATCTACATACAAGGAGACAATGAGTATATCATACTGACCTTGGATCTTGGTGTATAAAGTTGCTTCACTTTTGCTCCTCCTGAATCCTTGGTCTGCAAAGTATTGATCAATTTTGCTGTACCATGCTCGTGGAGCTTGCTTCAATCCATATAGAGCTTTTTTCAGTCTTAGTACTTTGCCTTCATTACCTTTGCTGACGAAGCCTTGCGGTTGCTCCACATAAATCTCTTCTTGAAGAATGCCATTGAGAAAGGCAGATTTTACATCGAGTTGATAAATGTTCCATCCTTTTTGTGCAGCAAGAGCAATCAGAGTTCTTATAGTATCCAGGCGAGCAACTGGAGCAAATGTCTCGTTGTAATCATCTCCAAGTTGTTGTGAGTATCCTTTAGCTACCAGTCTTGCCTTGTACTTTTGTATGGTGCCATCGGGATTAAGCTTGGTCTTATAGACCCATTTTACCCCAATGATATCTTTATCTGTGGGGCAATCTACTAGCTCCCATGTGTTATTTTTCTCAATCATTTTTATCTCTTCTTCCATTGCCTTGACCCATACTTCTTGTTTTGACGCTGCTTCAAAGTTCTCAGGTTCAGTTATGGCCAGGTTACAGGTCTCGTATATATCCACCAAAGATCTAACTCGTCTTGGAGTAGACTCTGGTGAGGAATGTTGTTGTTATGGAGGTGAAAAATTCTCACCTGAGACTTCTTCAATTTCTTGAGGTTGCTGAATTGGTATGGAAACATTTTTCTGAACCTTTTCATCTTTCCAATTCCAAGCATCATTTTCATCAACTTCAACATCTCGACTAATGGTGAGCTTCTTGGTTTGCAAGTTGTAGACTCGATATCCTTTTGACTGTGTGTTATATCCCAAGAAGATACCTCGTACGGTTTTGTCTTCTAGTTTGTGTCTCTTCTCTTCTAGAATGTGTATGTAGCAAATTGATCCGAAAATCCTTAGATGTTTTGCTGATGGTTTTTGCCCACTCCAAGCTTCAATTGGAGTTTTATCTTGGACAGCGTTAGTTGGACATCTGTTAAGTATGTAGACAGCAGTATAAACTGCTTCAGCCCAGAAAGTATTTGGCAATTCTTTCTCCTTCAGCATGGATCTAGCCATCTCTATTACCGTGCGGTTTTTCCTCTCAGTTACTCCATTTTGTTGTGGAGTATATGCGACAGTAAGTTGTCGTTGAATGCCTTCATCCTCACAGAATTTATCAAACTCTTGAGATGTATACTCTTTGTCACGAGAACTTCTTAATACTTTTATCTGTTTACCAGTTTGCTTCTCGACAAGAGCCTTAAACTTCTTGAAAATTCCAAATACTTCTGACTTTGCTTTGATGAAGTAGACCCAAGTCATTCTAGAAAAATCATCAATGAAAAGGATAAAATACCTGTTATCATGTAGTGATGGTGTCCGCATTGGTCCACAAATATCTGTATAAATAAGCTCCAATAAGTCTTTTGCTCTCCAAGCTTTTCCAGTAGAAAATGGCAATCGATGTTGCTTGCCAAGGAGACGTCCTTCACAAGCTTCATTATTTTCTTCAAGATATGGAAGATCCTTCATCATATTATTTTGATGTAGTAGTTTTAAGGCATGAGTATTGAAGTGGCCAAATCTTCGATGCCAAAGTCGTGAAGTATCAACTTCTGCTTTCATGGCAAGATTGGCGCCTTGTTGAAAGCTTATTGGAAAACTTCGATTTCTTTTCTCCATCTTTACTTGGCCAATCTCTTGCTTTTTGTTGTCATATATCTTACATGTGTCCCCTTTGAAGTGAAGAGAATAACATTTCTCCATCATTTAGCCAATACTCAAGAGATTCTCCTTGAGGTTAGGGACTAGTAAGACATCAGTAATAAGTTTCGTACCTTTCTTTGTCTCCACCATAACAGTGCCTTTGCCTTTTGACTCAGCGATAGTACCGTTCCCCATTCGAACTTTCACTTTGATAGATTCGTCGATATCCTTGAAGATGTTTATATCTTTGGCCATGTGATTGCTGCAACCGCTATCCAAGTACCAATTTTCGCTTGTTTCAGTACTGGGATCTTGGGTAGCATAGAAAAGATGTGGTTCTCGATCATCCTCTTCAGCGAAATTTGCTTGATACTTGTTTTTGTTGCGACAATACTTTTCCACATGTTCAAATTTCTTGCAGTGTCGACATTGTGGTTTTCCACGATACCGACATTCTTCTTCAGCATGATTTGTCCTCTTACAAATACCACATGGAGGGTATTTATCTTGATTGTTTCTAGAGAAATTTCTAGAATTCTCTTTGTTTCTAGAAGTTTCTCCATTATTCTTTCTTGCTTTATTCCCTTTATTCTGAGACCGTAATTTGAGCTTTGATTGAAAGACATTTTCTATTGAGTCCTCATCATGCCTTTTCAACCTTTGCTCATAAGCTTCAAGGGATCCTACCAACTCTGTCATTGATAGAGTAGATAGGTCCTTTGTTTGCTCAATAGTGGTGACAATTGGATCATACTTACGGGGAACTGTAATCAGTAATTTCTCAACAACTTTTTTGTCAAGAATATTTTCTCCGTAAGCTCTCATTTGATTAACCATTTCTTTTATTTTGGAATAGTAATCCTTGACGGTCTCAAACTCTTTCATTTTTAATAATTCAAACTCTCGTCGTAGAGTTTGGAGTTTTATAGCGCGTACCTTTTCGCTTCCTTCAAACTCCTCCTGCAACGTACTCCATGCTTCTTTGGCTGTTGTAGCACCCATTATTCTTGGAAAAATTGCATCAGTCACAGCTTGTTGTAGAGTAAACAAGGCCTTTGAATCCTTTTGTTTATTCTCTTTCAATTTTTTTCTTTGAGCTGCAGTAAGGGATGATATGTCTGAGGGAATAGTGAATCCTTCTTTTACAATATCCCACAAATCTTGGAACGTGAAATATGTTTTCATTTTTGTGCTCCAAAAATCATAATTTTCACCATTGAAAATGGGGACGGGAAGAGATGATGGTTGAGTAGTGCTAGTCATGGGTTAGGAAATTTTTGGAAGTGGTTTATTTTAATTTTTGAAATAGTATGGTAATATTTTTACGCCCAGTAGATGATCGAACGTAGCTCTGATACCACTGATAGTTTTTAGTGTGGGTGAGATGAGTAAAATAGTTGAAATGTGTTAGTAGGAATAGTTGAAAATAGTAGTTGAAGAAGTTTTAGTAAGAGACTCAAGAGATAGAGAATTGTTGTCTTGATTACTTCTTTTTCATTTTTTATTTACAATGAGGTAGCATGCCTATTTATAGACATCATCCACCATTTGGTTCAATATACTAGATCTATCTCAAAACTTGAAGATTTACAATATTCTAGAACTTTTTCTAGAAGCATCTAGATACTAAAAGATACAATTAATTTTTCCTAGATTATTCTTAATATTTTTTCTAGACTATTCTAGAAATTTGTATCAATTTCTAGAAAGAAAATTTATTGTGTCTTGCGTCCGAATAATTTATCGTAATTTGCTTTTCCATTTCTGTTTATTATTTTTTGGACTGTTTATAAGCAAAACATTCATGCTAAAAATTTCAAAGATTACAAATGGAAGAAATCAATTAATTAATTAACATACCAAAATGAATTATTCATATAAGTTCGCTGGCTTCCACCATATTCCTACTAAGAAAAAACATTTGCCAAGAATTTAGAGTTTGATAGGCATGACAAACGTCGGCCAGTAACTGGTTGAAGATCAATCAATCAACAATGGAACACTTTGTCATTTCCCTTCTGGGAGAAGACAGAAGGAACTCAAACAAAGCTGAACGTTGTGATTGTTGTTTGAGACACGTGAAGCATGCACCGTCTCTGTGTATTTGACAGCTTTTTATGTTCCACTGGAGCTATTTGAAATTGCGACAATCGTATAAATGCTTTTCGTTGAAAGAAATGTGAATTCATTTGTGGACAGATATTGAATGTGCTTCTTTATTACTATTAATCTTATTGCAAACACAACAACAGGGTACAATACAAAAATGCCACAATAAATAGAGAAGCAATCATACACGGCCATATTAATCTATGAACAAATAAATTTAACAGATCACTAAAGGCGGACTGTACTTTTCACTTTCACTTGGCATTTACATTTAGAATCTCGCTTCCCCGCTTTGATTTGTCCGTCATTTGAACACAATAAGATGAGGACGTGCAAGATGGCCATCAACGAAATAGAATCAATCTTGTCTGAATCACAAACATAGTAGCTCAGAGATGACACATTCAGACTTTTATTCAAAGAACTTGGACAGGAAGCTAGATGTTTCACTTGGCTCCAAATGGAGCTTGCCTTTATTTCTCGATGAAAACTAAAACCTGAAAAGAAATGAAAACTTTCATTACTATGATTTATACATATAAAGTTAATTGATTTGTATTTCAAAATGTAAAGGTCATGAACTTACATGGTTTATCACGAATGGCACTTTTACATTCCGAGCTTACTTGTAGATCGGTGGAGGTGGGGAAGCATAGATGTAAACTGGTGGTGGAGGTGATTTTACTGGTGGGGGAGGTGATTTGTAAATGTATGTGGGAGCGGGAGCTGGGGAGGGAGGAGGTGGTGATGTGTAATGGTATGGTGGTGGAGGTGATTTTACTGGTGGGGGAGGAGATTTGTAAATGTACGTGGGAGCCGGAGCTGGGGAGGGAGGAGGTGGTGATGTGTAGTGGTATGGTGGTGGGGGAGATGGAGAAGGTGGTGGAGGACTCACATAGAGGTAGGGAGGTGGAGGAGACGACGTTGGTGGTGGAGGGGATTTGTAGTAGTAGGGAGGATGAGGAGTGGGAGAAGGTGGAGGAGGACTTTGATAGTAATAAGGAGGTGGTGGAGATGGAGATGGAGGTGGGGGAGATTTGTAATAGTATGGAGGTGGCGGCGATGGAGATGGTGGAGGTGGAGAATGGTAGTAGTAGGGAGGGTGTGGTAACTCTTTAGGTGGAGGTGGAGATTGATAATAGTAGGGTGGAGGTGGGGATGGTGAAGGTGGTGGGGGAGACTTATAATAGTATGGCGGGGGAGGGGATGGTGATGGTGGAGGTGGTGACTTATAGTAGTATGGGGGAGGAGGAGAAGGTGAGGGTGGGGGTGGAGACTTGTAGTAGTATGGGGGGTGTGGCAATTCTTTAGGTGGAGGAGGAGATTGGTAATAGTATGGTGGAGGTGGGGATGGTGACGGTGGTGGGGGAGATTTATAGTAGTATGGAGGAGGAGGAGAGGGTGATGGTGGAGGTGGGGATTGGTAGTAGTATGGAGGTTTAGGTTTCGGTGATGGTGGAGGTGGAGATTGATAGTAGTATGGGGGCTTGGGAACTGGTGATGGTGGAGGTGGAGATTGGTAATAGTATGGGGGCTTGTATACTGGTGATGGTGGAGGTGGAGATTGGTAGTAGTAAGGTGGCTTAGGTACCGGTGATGGGGGGGGTGGAGATTGATAGTAGTAGGGGGGATTTGGTTTTGGTGATGGTGGAGGTGGAGATTGGTAGTAGTACGGGGGGTGTGGTTTTGGGGATGGTGGAGGTGGAGATTGGTAGTAGTATGGGGGCTTGGGAACTGGTGACGGTGGAGGTGGAGATTGGTAGTAGTATGGAGGCTTGTGTACTGGTGTTGGTGGAGGTGGAGATTGGTAGTAGTATGGAGGCTTAGGTTTTGGGGATGGTGGAGGTGGAGACTGATAATAGTAAGGAGGGTTAGGTTTTGGTGATGGTGGAGGTGGAGATTGGTAGTAATATGGAGGCTTGGGAACCGGGGATGGTGGTGGTGGAGACTGGTAGTAGTATGGGGGCTTTGGTTTTGGTGATGGTGGAGGTGGAGACTGGTAGTAGTAAGGAGGGTGTGGTTTTGGGGATGGTGGGGGTGGAGATTGGTAGTAGTATGGAGGGTGTGGTTTTGGGGATGGTGGCGGTGGAGATTGGTAGTAGTATGGAGGGTGTGGTTTTGGGGATGGTGGCGGTGGAGATTGGTAGTAGTATGGAGGGTGTGGTTTTGAAGTGGGTGGAGGTGGAGATTGGTAGTAGTATGGAGGGTGTGGTTTTGGGGATGGTGGCGGTGGAGATTGGTAGTAGTATGGGGGCTTAGGTTTTGAAGTGGGTGGAGGTGGAGATTGGTAATAATAGGGAGGCGACTTTACTGGAGGAGGAGGAGAGTTGTAGTAGTAGGGAGGAGAATAATGATGGACAGGTGGAGGGGGTGATTTATATACATAAGTAGGTGATGGTGGAGGTGGTGACTTGTATATGTAAACTGGAGTTGGAGGAGGAGGGGACGTGTAGTAGTAAGGAGTTGGTGAAGGCTTTGGCTTTTCGCATTCTTCAAAATGCTTCTTTGAAGCATAGGCAAATGGCTTAGCCTTCAGCACAACTTCATACTTGTCCTTGGATTTTACCTTCAAGTCGGTTCCTTCATTTAGCTTGGTAGGAATGTTGAAGGGTGAGTCCTTAGGTGGAGCATAAAGTCTGGCCTTGCACACTGTAGGTCCATATTTCACATAGTCGAAGTCCTTTACTGTTATGCTGTACTTTCCATTGCTCTTTGTTTCACCGTAAGCCTTGATGATTTTTCTCCCTGCTTTGCATTTGACCTCCACAGTAGCACCTGCATGTGCAAAAAACAAAAGTTCACTATATAAATCGTTTGAACTATCCTTGTCACATAGCATATTATATTAGTCAGCACCATTTAAGGGATAATAAAGAATTGAATTATCTTTGTCATATAGATTGTTTTCTTTATCTATTACAGGCTGTAACTAGCTCTAATCAAAGATAAGGAGTTTTAATTATCTTAATTCATATTAAAATTATTTTAACTTATTAATTTTTTATATATATTTCATTTGGGATAAGCATGTAAAATATTTATTTAACTTTTATTTATAATCGAGTACAGATAAGAGCATGTTTGAGAAGATAATAATGGATATTTTTTAAAAGGATAAATAAATTAAATTTCTTTCTAAATGATCAAATAGAACAAAAATGTACAAAGTTGATTTTTAGCAATAATTTAATGGTGGGGCTACCCTATATTTGAAAAAGAGTAATCTAGGCACTTTATTTAACAATTTTTACGTAAATAATAAATGTATTTTTCATTTAAAAAGGAATAAACATATTCATTTGCTTAATTCAAGTTGAGTCTGCTGAAACTTTTTCTCTAAACCTTAAAACAAAAAATTATTAAGGAAACAATAATTAACATGAAAGATTTATTGTAGAAACGAAGCAAGTAAAAATATGACTAAATTCTAAGAAACCGCCATTTATAGAAACATATGGGCGTCCCCCCCAAAAGAAATATAGCTAATGAACATGCGAAGGCAGTTTAAGTCTTCATAGCACCAAAAATGACAGCTTAATGGTAAATGTACTGAGCATTATTTTGAGTCAATGATAAACAATAGAAATGAATGTAATATACCTTTGAGGTGTTTCTTGTTATGAGACTTTTCAGGATACTCCCAATCGTAGCACTTGAAGCTATAGACTTTACCCACTACCTTCACAATCAATGCATGGTAGTAAGGATGTGGGTAGGGGTGTGGGGGATACACAACTGGTGGAGGAGGAGAATTATAATAGTATGGAGTTGGGGATGGTGGTGGAGGAGACTTATAGTAGTAAGGAGTTGGTGAAGGGGGAGGAGGAGACTTGTAATAGTAAGGAGTGGGTGATGGGGGAGGAGGAGACTTATAGTAATAGGGTGGTGGTGGAGGTGGAGACTTGTAGTAGTATGGAGTTGGGGATGGTGGTGGTGGAGACTTATAGTAGTAAGGAGTTGGTGAAGGGGGAGGAGGAGACTTGTAATAGTAAGGAGTTGGTGATGGGGGAGGAGGAGACTTGTAGTAGTATGGAGTTGGGGATGGTGGTGGAGGAGATTTATAGTAATAGGGAGTTGGGGATGGAGACTTTTCCGGTGGGGGTGGAGACTTGTAATAGTAAGGTGGTGGAGGAGACGGTGAAGGTGGTGGTGGGGACTTGTAATAGTAGGGAGGAGGAGGTGAGGGAGAGGGTGGGGGAGGAGACTTGTAATAGTATGGTGGAGCCTTGTGCTCATATGGTGGTGGTGGAGGTGGTGACTTGTAGTAGTATGGAGGAGGAGGCGAGGGAGAGGGTGGTGGAGGAGACTTGTAATAGTATGGTGGAGCCTTGTGCTCATAAGGTGGTGGAGGCGGTGGAGACTTGTACACATAAGGAGGTGGAGGTGAAGGGGATGGTGGAGGGGGTGACTTGTACTCATAAGGTGGCGCCTTGTGCTCATATGGTGGAGGTGGTGGAGATTTGTACTCGTAAGGAGGTGGAGGTGATGGTGAAGGTGGAGGGGGTGACTTGTACTCATAAGGTGGAGCCTTGTGCTCATATGGTGGAGGCGGTGGAGACTTGTACACATAAGGAGGTGGAGGTGATGGTGAAGGTGGAGGGGGTGACTTGTACTCATAAGGAGGAGCCTTGTGCTCATATGGTGGAGGCGGTGGAGACTTGTACTCATAAGGAGGTGGAGGTGATGGTGAAGGTGGAGGGGGTGACTTGTACTCATAAGGAGGAGCCTTGTGCTCATATGGTGGAGGTGGTGGAGACTTGTACTCATAAGGAGGTGGAGGTGGTGGAGACTTGTACTCATAAGGAGGTGGAGGTGATGGTGAAGGTGGAGGGGGTGACTTGTACTCATAAGGAGGAGCCTTGTGCTCATATGGTGGAGGTGGTGGAGACTTGTACTCATAAGGAGGTGGAGGTGATGGTGAAGGTGGAGGAGGGGACTTGTACTCATAAGATGGTGGTGGTGGAGAGTAGTAAGGGTAACCATCAGCAGCAACGGAAACCACAGTAGTAGAAATCAAAGCAATGGCCAATGCCATGGCCATTTGTGGCCAAAGACGACCCCATCTGGGGTCTCTGCCCCTACCAGTCATGCGGAGAAGGAAAAAGCTGACCACCTCTGGCCAATGCTTCTGCTCAGATCCTCACAGGTATTCTTGGTAGTGAGAAGAGATTATGATTGAGGGAAGGTGAGGAAAAGAGAGAAGGGGTTTAGTGTTAGTGATTACTGAGAAAAGCTGCATGAAATACTTAGTACTTATAGTGAAAGTGAGTCGTTAAAGGGGAGCTGTCATGAGGGACCAATTCAAAATATTCAATTGGTTTCATTTTGATTTTAATGCTTTAAATTAAGTTTCCCCAGCTGGCCTTGTGACTTTTTTTAAGCACTGCTTTGTAAACTCTAATTTCCCACTTGTTTTTCTCCAAATGGCCAGAACCAGGCTCCATTCCAATTAATTTCCAACTACTAATTAAAATATAAATCAGCATCTTTACTCTCCAAGATAGTGTACAACAATAAGTTACGATAACGTCCTATTCTTTTATCATTCCCTCCTTAGTTGCCTATCTTGACGAAAAAGTAACTCAAAACTGCTTTATTCATCTTCTCCCTCTCTTTTCTTATTCCTTTTCTTTTGTTTTTTCAGAGTGAAAGGGAGGGAATACTGTATTTTGTATCACGGATCCATGAGTGGTCATGATTTTTGTTCTAGTCCTTCATGGCAGCTATTGCAAGCTTTGGATCAAATCCCTTTTCTTCTGGGTGAATATATTTGACTTTTCAATATTATTTCTTTCAGTACATTTTGAACACAAGCTTTTGGCAGCTTATAATAAAGAATAATCCAAATTTACCTAATTTTGCTATACGCCCACGTGTTTGTGGGGTTACGATACAAATCAAACTAAGACCAACATTAAAAATTTATCATTCGTTTGTGTTATTTCTCATATGTCAAAAGAAAATGGTGTATTCATGATTATACAACTAAATTTACCTAAATACGTAGATTATAGCGGGGTGGACACTACGCGGGCAGAAGGAGACAGAATGAGAAGTTGCTATGGGAAGAGTACAAGTTCATCACCACTTAGGTTCCCCTGTTAGTGCTCTTTTCTTTACTTCCTCTTTCTTGAAGAGTACAGTTTTCTCAGCCATGTGATTCCTCAATAATTAGATTAACATGTGCTGTTGCCAACACCCGCATCCGCATGTAGTGCACATTGCAGCCTTTTGCAGGTATTTCGTGGTACCCAAACTTTAAGAGGGGTGGGAAAGGGCTACCATTAACACTAACAACGACCCAAAAATTAGTTTTCCAGATTAATTTCATTTCCTGCAAGAAAATAATAATTGGACTTTTCTTCCACGTTTAACTTTAGCTATGCCTTAAATCTTCACAAAACGACATTTTTTAAGAAATTTATATATGGACCATTAAATGGACACTTCAGAAGAAAACAGTTCAGTGACATAGGAAGAACTTAATCGAAAAATTGAACAGTGCACACCTAATGGAATATTTCAACGCCAAATGATTGAATTATTCGAGTTACATAGATCGGCATTACTCCAAAAATGCAATGTGCACTCAGGGAGTTCATTGATTTGCCTCTTAATATGTTCCTTTGTGATGAATTTCAAAGGAGTTACCAGAAGAAAGTTATCTGTGCTCGATGCGTTGTTTTTAGCAATTGATCAATGTCGGTTGGTAACATAAATTTATGACATCAATAATCAATAATGGTAACAAAAATGAATGAAACGTGTACACTGTGGTTGCTTTATAAAATTGTGTTTGGCTATGTTGGATAATATAATTTATTAATTGAACAACTAAGCATTTGCCAATTAAAAATTGCTCTACAGTCCCTAACGGAGGAATTCAGGTACATTTCTCTATGATGCTTCGGACAAATCTACTCGTATATGGTTTGAAGAGTCAAGATTCCTTGATATTCCCCTTTTACCTGGAAATGAAAAAGAAAAGTGATTTTTACATAAGCATAGACTCACAACAAACAACTAATCAAACGTTTAAGATATGTTAAAATAATAATAATCATAAAATCTGTATTGAAGTTATTTAGTTATCTTTTTAAACTTTTAATTAGTTGTGTTTTATAAATATTATAGTCATGTAAAGACTATTCATCTTGAATTTAAATTCTAATAAATTCAGTTGTATTAAATTTTTGTGGTCTATTTATTTACCATTATTAAGAGAATGCTGGGGCATGGAAATGAAATCCATTGTAATTATTTGCTGCATTGGACAAAATTACGACATAATGTGAGCGTTAACTGAGTCCCCATGTGAACCCTACTAATACTTTAATCTCTAATAGCCACCCCATCCTCTCTCTCATTGTTCATGGCAGTCAATGGCGTGTAATAGAACGTCTCTGAACTGAGGTGTAAATAGAAGATCAAATTCGTGATGGTTGTTGAATTTGAAGGAAAATAAATGATCTTCGTATGATTAGAAAAATTGAAACAGAAATTGGATATTGGTTCCATAATGAGATGCGGTATCCATAGGGGGGATGGAAAAGCTAGTAATAGAGAGAGATTGGACAGTGGACAGACAGTTTGGAAGGGAATAATAAGATAGAAGAGGAAACGTTAGAGTCCCTTTCAATGCTTATAATGTAGGAATGATAGGAGTAAATCACAGTGAAAACCAAATAAAGTCTTTTCTTTTAAGTGCAGCTAATTATGTTAAAGTTGTTGGGAGGACCACCCCATCAACCACTCTTGGTCCTAAAATTCTTGAGTTTAGGTGAAGTGGTAAGGTTGTTACAATTCTGCACAATCAAGTTATCTTCATCCAACCATTCATCAGGACCTCATCCAACCGTCCTTTTTTTCAAATTCTTCTCCAGTTATAGACTTCTCTCTCTGGTTATGTTGCTTTTTATGCTTTGATCAGGGCAAACTGATTTATGGAATAGTAAATTGAGCAATGTAATGAATGATTTTCGTAGCATTTACTTATTAGAAAAATACAAGTTAGTTCCCTCCAATTATATATTAAGTAAAATAATATTTTCAGCAAAATAATTCTTTATTTGTAAATAGTTTGCTGATCATAAAACTAAAAAAAATAAAATATCTCTCTTTGTTTTGCAAAAGAGACATTGACTGAATGCTAAAAAATAGCATTAGAATATCAGCACCAAATCTATAAAGACTTTTAAAACAGCTCAAACATAACAATTGATTTTGTTTGGTCTTAAATTATTAAGCGGAGAAATCTGGGCTGGTTTAAGCATGTGCATAGCCAAACTTTAAGGGTTATTAGCTGTGGCATAATTCATCAGACAATTAACTTATATGGGTCCAATTATGGAAAAACAACACCCGCCAAGCCAGGAAGATAATATAGTACATGCATTATGAAGGGTATGGATGTTGACAGGTGCATGTTTATCACAAATGGTTGTTGACCGAAATAGGTTAAACATAAGATGTAAAAGGAGGCAACGCATTGTGATGAGATCAAATTTACCACAGAATCTAAGGCATGGATACGATCAAAATATATACAATGAATTACTCAATCAAATAAAAGCTTCAGAATTGTTCATTTTGATGTATATCTCACCAAGACTCAAAGGGGAATATGTGACATCAATAAATTTGTATTTCACAATCATGAGGGCCAAAATGTCACTGAAATTGAGAATGTCATAATATGCACGTGCTGATGGCTGACGGGGTTGTGTAGATCTACGTCCACAAATGCGTATGAAGTTGTTGCTTCTTTTTGAGTAGAAGTGCAGTGCATGGTTTTCATCTAGAAAAAGAAAAGTTCAAAATTTTGTTGTTATTTGTATTCTTCTTTTAAGTTTCTTTATCCATACTTTCACATGTTCTGTAAAGTAGAGGGGTGATTCTTTTCTTTATTCTCTATATAAATTTACATGCAAAATTACTAACGCGCGTCTTTTTAGTTTGCATAAGCTCCTAAATGTTAATATTTCCCTATGCAGAAAGGCCACCGATTTCTTAATGCCGGCTACTCTGTGTTACCCAAAATGGTAAGAGGAATCAGAAGAGAAGTTATTTACTGATTCAATTCACTATATAATAGATATCTTCCCGTGTAAGTTTGTTTTGACTTCTCTTTCTCTGATTTTATATAGAATATTATTTTTCTATGCACCCCAACTCTTCGATTGTTTGTTTGAAAATAAGTTTATATTTTTTAAAATAATGTTAGATTGATGAAAATATACTTTAGCTGTTATATTCAATGTTTAGTTAGTTTGAATTGAAATTAAATTTTATCTTTAAATTCATGTTTTAATAAACATGCTAAATTAGAAATTATCTATTAAGCTAAAACAATTGTACTAAAGTTTGGTAGGAGTAGATATTGAGAGGGTACCACATCAATATTGAAACCCAAGTGGAGCCTAATGCCAAAATATGCATAATGTATTTATTACAAGTATGAGATTCGCTTCAATAGAGGTATTTTTGGGTTGAACAAAACAAATGTTCAGGAGATCTATAATGGTAACATAAACATGTAACAAACGCCAATTTTGACAGGTTTGCCTTATTTTAAACTAAGGAGTTTGGAAGAAGAGAAAGTTTATATATAGTTAGATTCCTCCTCACTTTAAAGACCAAAAAGATAGGCTTTTCAAAAAACACAAACCAAACAGATATTTATTAAGCTTTGTCAAAATTTATGTAGGAAAAGATGCAACACAGAATTTTTTTTATCACTAAATTATGTGAACATGTTATCCTTTCTCACAAAATTATAAGATTTGGATAATTTTTTTAATTAACTTTTAGAAGCGAGTTAAATTTAACATTAATGATAAAGTACTCGCAAATATCTACTTGCGCAAATTTCATATAATGTATGTTCAGTATTAGATGTGAACAAATGCGTTTGAAGATATTTTATGTTAGTTAAAAATACGATAAAAATACTCTTTTTAGGCTTTGACTTTAAATTTATAATCTTCAAACTTATTTTTTTATTTTTATCATCACTATCTTAATATAAATTTCCTATTATCTTTTTTAATTTAGGCATATATGTTTCGTTCAATACAAAGTTTTAAAAATAAGAATAATTTTTAAAAAATAATATTATATATATAAGAAATCAATTAAAATATATGATTACTAGAGTTAAAATGAAAAATAAAAAAATTGAATTTTTTTGTTATTTTATATTTATCAATGAA